ATCAGCCCGTTCAGCCCCACCAGGGAGCCGTACTTTAAAGATACTAGTTAAAGTCTGGAGCTAATGCTTGCTGACAGGCCAATGGCGGACTTTCCCGTCTGATTGTTCCAGTGTGCAATCCTCCCGTCGGGATGGTCTGCCTCCAGACCATCCCAAATGGCCGCCATTAAAAAAAATTCTTAGCGATATGCACATAAGCGAGTAAACACGTGACAGCTGCAGAGCTCCACTCAAACATCCCGGACAATTTCATGTTTCTGAATGGCCCGTGAATTTTATGAACTGTGTTAATTAAAAAGGTAACTAGAGGCAGGTACCACTGTGTCATGCCTGCCCCTGATGTAGCATCTGACAGCCAGGAACAAGGGGACTTGGCACCACAAGCCCCTGATGTGACCACAGAGGCAGAGCCTAACAGCCAAGAACTGACTCCTTTAACAGAAGACACTGTAAGTCTTGAGGAGGATAGAACCTCCCAGGAGACACCTGCGCCGGATCAGGCTCTGCTTGACTCAAGCAGATCATCACTTGACTCCCCCCCACCTGTGAACCGGCTCAGGAGTCAACAACGACAGGAGCTGAATGAGAGACGCAAGGCTGCACGCATGCGCGGAAGATGCTCATTCAGCCCTGAGTTTTAACAGCGGCCTGACCTTGCTTCACAAAGATAACAAGTTAATGAGCCAGCACACTATATCAACAAACCTGCTGCTTGAAGCAATTTGTACTGGCAACTTCAGTTGACAGGACCAGATGCTCTATGCAATCTTGCTCCGGACTCTTTGAAACCTTGACCGTTTGTTACTCTGCTTCTCCGGCTCCCTGACCCTCGGCATTGTTTGACCACGACTTCGGCTCTGCGATACTCTGGCTTTACTTGATTTATGGACTACGACGTATGGTATGTTTGACGCTGGCTTTGTGAACTGTTTTGGACTTGTTTAAATCTCTGTGCTGTTTGAACTATTGGCTGAACCTCGGACTGGCTTTGGACTTGACTTGTTTAACCCACGCTCCCTGGCCCTGCCGTGACACACTGGCGGTGCTTTAACCATTAAATTCTACGCATATGCGGAAAAACAAGTACATGTTGAGGTGCAGATCCGCATGTGCAAACAGAATTTTTTTAAAAAAACCCTACCATGTGGCTCCTTCAGGTGGACGCCATCTAGACAATCCACTGTGAATTATGCATGCGGTAAGGGGAGCTGTCTGGTCGTGCAACGCTGAATAAAGAAAGATCTGGATCAAATTAAAGCCAGGCCAATGGCGAGATTAGCTTCCCATCTGAACACACCCTGAGAGCTTCTGTTGCTTGCCTTAGATCCAATGAGGAGGAGGAGCACACTTCCAAGGAGGTAACAATGGATGTAAGCAGAGGTCATTTCGGGGGGGGATCGCGGGGGATCGCAGTTCCCCCGGGTGAGGTACGGGGGTGGGGCACATGATGAAGCCCCACCCCCTGCTTCCGGCCGCCCCGCTTCCGGCCCTCATTCAGCCAGGAGGAGACAGGAGAAGAGGGAGGGTAAGTTGCTTCCTCCCTGCCTCTCCCCACCCCTGCCTGCCTGGGGCCAGGGAGGGCCTTTCCGGGGCTTCCTTGCACTCCCACCGGCCTTGCAGGTCCACCGCTGGGCCCCTCATGGGGCTCGGCAGTGGAGCTGCAAGGCCAGCGGCGGCGGCCAGGACCGTTGGGGGCGGGGGGTGTGGCCTTATGACACACTTCCAGTGATGTCAGCCAGGCCTCTCACCTTCTCTTGCATAATGGCAGGCAGGCTAAGGCCTCAGCTCATTGGGGCACCCCAAGCTGGTGCTGCAGTCTAAGCTGAAGTGGCTTAGGATGCCTCCTTTGTCCCACTCTTCTTTCTGCATGCCTCTGACACCATCCATTCCTGGTGCAGCTACACTGGTACCGGGTCTACAGAGCAGAGCATCATTGGGACATTGTGCTGGCATCTCCCCTCCCCACACTATACAGTGATGAGTATGATGAGGAGGATTCTGTCTTATAGTTAAGTAGCATACTGTTTTTCATGTGCTGCTCTCTGATTTTGTAATCCTGTTTTATTGCATTGTTGATTGTATGCATTGTACTGATCTGATTGCATTGTTCTTAAATCATGTAATCTGCCTTGGGTTTCAAGTGAGAAGAACAGACTGTTAATGAAGTACGTACATAAGTAAATATATCAAAGAATCCTTGAGTTATGCCAACATGGGGCTTAGCTGCATAAACCCTTTCCAGGCTGGCCTTCGTATTGTGCCCTAAAATTCAAATCAGCTCTGATTTGGGTTTGAAAATAAATAGGAAGGGAATGTAGTCCCTATAATATCAAAGTGACATCTTCCATTCAGCAGGCCTCCATTCTTCAACAGCTGCTTTTTGAACTACCTGAACTTTCCAAACATTCAGCAACCCCTACAGTGCAGGGTAGGGGCCGCGGTGGCTCAGAGGTTAAGACACTGAGCTGCAGACTGGAAGGTCTGTAGTTCGGCAATTCGAGACCCTGGTACCGCATGACAGAGCAAGCTCCCATCTCCAGCCACAGCTCCTGCCAACCTAGCAGTTCAAAAGCAAGAAATTGCAAGTAGATAAATAGGTACCACATTGGTGGGAAGGTAACAGCGTTCTGTGCACCTTGGCGTTTAGTCATGCTGGCCACATGACCACAGAGAAGTCTTCAGACACAGCTGGCTCTTTGGATTGAAAACAGAGATGGCTTTTGAGCAACGGAAACCTTTACTTTACTTTACACTGCAGGTACAATGTAGTAGCCTATTCTGGAAGAAAATGCAGAACAATGCTGTCCTGAACACATCTTCTTTAACAAGTTGGCATCATTTGGCAGCTTGCTGTGCAATCATTCCAGAATGGCAGCCATTCTAATCTGTTGCAGAAAAAATTAACAAACAGACTTAATACACTGGGATGAATGTTGTTAGTCTTTAAGCTGCAGGTGGATTTTTGCTCTGCTATAGTCTTCAGAAACATTAAAAAGGGACTAACCAGATTCATGGAATATTGGGTGGCTGCAAGCCATGGTGATTAAAAGGAAACCTCCATACGCAGAGGTGCTAAGTTCCTGAATCCCAAGGCCAGAAGGCAACATCAGAAGGCCTTGGCCTCTATTTATTTATTCCAATTTGTATCCCGCCCTCCCCACCAAGGCAGGCTGAGGGTGGCTTCCATTAAAAGTTAAAATACATTAAAAACAAATTAATTAAACACAATACACATCATAAAAACTCATAAACATACAAATAACAAGTAACAGTAAGTGCAGTTAAAGTGCTAGTGGCAGTATATTCTGATCTCTATAGGCCATGGCGTAGCCAATGTAACAAAAACATCATCAGAGGTTGTTGCTGTTGAATTCACAGGCTGTTGCTGTTGACATAGAGGGCCTTAGCCCAGTTTAGGTGATGTTGGTAGCGGCTCCTAATCGAAGGCCTGGTGGAAGAGCTCTGTTTTGCAGGCCCTGAGGAACTGTAAAAGGTCCCACAGGGCCCTGATGTCCTCCAGGAGCTCGTTCCACCAGACTTCCACACAGGTCCATAGCTACCGCGGGTCCCATGAGGTCCACCCCCTGCGGTTTGTACAGACCCCTCCTCAATCCTCTGCTCCCCCTCTCCCCGCCATCGCTGCCCTCAGTCCAGCAGCCGGTGACTCCACACCACCTGCTGCTCCCCGTCCGTCCTTGCTGCTGCCGGGAGGTCAGAGGGGAGGGCTGCTGAGTGAGGACACCCGCCACGCCTCCCTCCTAGGTGCCTGCCTGCCTGCCTCCCTGCCACGGCTGGCCGGGCTCCCATGAGGAGGAGGAGGCACCCTGCTTTCTCCCCCTGCCCGGCCTCTGCCGCTGAAGACCAGCCGGGGGGCTCCTCTCCTCACCGCCAAGGGGGCAGGTCATGTGGGGCAGGCTTGGTGCTGGTCTTTCTCTCCCCCCTGCCACCCTTCCGAGGCCGGTGGCACTGGTGGGGTCAGTGGTGGGGAATCCTCTTCAGACTCTGAGTCTTTTCCCCTGTGGTGGCAGCGGCCTAGACGCATGCCTCGCTGGCGTCCTGGACCGGCCCTCCGTCCCCTTCTTCACTTCCTTTCCCTCGTGTGTGGCCTCCCCCCACGCAGCCAAGAGGAAGGGGCAGCTGCCTGCCTGATGAAGCCAGCTGGGGTCCCGACGCAGCCAGAACTTTGCCAGGTAGGAGTGCATTGAAGGTGATGTGAAATCTATAGGGACATGCTTGGGGACTGTTGTTTAAAGCCAGATGGAAGAATGACTGGGGATCTTCATTCTCTCCTGTCAGGTGTGGAGGGCACATAACACTACATCCACCTCCAAAAAATGCTGTTATGTCAACAGACATCCTAATATCCATTGCATACATTCAGTATTCTAATATACTATTCTGAAAAAGAAAATACATAGAAAATACTAAAATACATAGGATTTATAGTCCTTGTTGAGAATACATATGTGAGGACTATCATATGTAATAAACCACTTGTATTTATTATTTAGTTATTATTTAGAAGTATGGGTATGGCAGTACCACACAGAGACATATAATGGCAGGGCCCCTGAGAAAAACACTCCCCCCCCCTACGAAAAAGTTGTTAGCTAGGGGGCTGCCTCCACAGGGACTGACTGGCCATTGTGTGAGACAGGATACTTGGACTGCATGGACCACTGGTCTGATCCAGCAAGGCTCTTCTTATGTTCTTAAACACAGGAAAATGTCACATGAAACCTATATATACCCTTTTATTCTCCGTAAGGGTAGAGTACACAGCAGACAAATGTGCGCAATTGTTGTATGTGGCACGGCCAGCTTTCCTCAAGTTAAAAAAAAACCTACCTTCCTATTCTTAAAAAAACCATTCTGCAAATGGAAAGCGTCACGCAATTAAAAAAGGGGAGGGACAAACCATTACTGTCGGTGGGGCAGTAAAACACGTTGGCCTCACCCAGCCCGGAGGTGGCGCTGGGCGTGCGGGTTTGAAGAGAGGGGCCCCCTCGTCGCAGCCCTCCTGCCTCCAGGTGTTCTTTCCGCGGCCTCCTGCAGGGGCTGCTGCTCCCCTCCCGTTTCTTCTCTTCCTCTCCGCCGCCGGGAAGCAACGGAGCTCCTCCCAGTCCCAGGTGAAGGTCTCTCCCTGCTGACCCCCGCGGAGCAGAGCAACACGGACGCACGCGCGCCTGCCCTCCCCTCTCCCCTCCTCCAGGTGTGAATCCCGCACCGCGGAAAGTGAAAGTGCGGCGGGCCGGGGGAGGAAGAAGGAACCCGGGGCCCGCTGCAGCCTGGGGGGCTGGGAGCTGAGCGGCAGTGCTGATGGCGGTGGAGGGGATCGCCCGGTTTTTCCGAAACAGCCTACGTCGGAGATCGGTCCGGAGAGGGGAGCAGAAGGGCACTGCCAGACTCTCTGACCGCTATCTGCCCCCCCCATACACGCACCCGTCAGACAGTCCGGCGCCTGGCTCTCCGGTCCGCCCCGTTCTTCCCTCTGCCCTCCTCTCCATTCAGCCCTTCGGCTGTAACAGGTCTGCGGATTGCCCCTACAACTTCGGATTCCCCCCCCCTCCCCCCCGGGATCGGACTCACGCCTGCTGCAAGTGTGAGCTCCTGGGAAATTTCCAGGAAGTTTCTGGAGAAGCGAGGCACGCCTCGGGTCAGACCAGCCAGCCCCATTCCGGTCAGGCTGCTGGACAGTCGCCTTCTCCTCCCCCCCTCCCCCCGCGTCCTCCCCGGGGAATTCAGCAGAATTCGGACTTTGGAAAGTCCCGCGTCCTCGTGCCCTTCCTCTGGTGGAAGTGATAAGGATCACTTCGGGAATGACCACCGGAGCAATGGAATGGGAATGAATGAGAACCGCGGAGGACGGTGTTTTAGAAAGCGAAGGGAAAAAAGGGTGCAGACTGAAGATCATTGAGGGCGCATTCGTCAGGGTGCAGCATGGTCAAGATGCATTTACCTGGATTAGCTACCCCGTTGTTCCCCTGATCTACTCACAGGGCAGTAAAAAAAATTCTCTCAGTCTGATGCATCTCATTCCAATACAGATTAATGTTCCTCCCTGTAAGTACTCAAACAGGTGATATTTGTTGTGGATTAAGGCAGAATACAGTGGTGTGATCATGTACGTATTTATATCTCAATATGTAAATGATTTTTAAAAGGTGGCTTTTCCTCCCTTTCTATGCATGCTGCTGGATTCAGTGGGGATTCCTGTTCAGGTTAGTGCATACAACTTTTATTGGAAAGGAAGCTGATTGTAATTTTAAGATGATACCCCTTAAAATGGTTATAATGCTTCAGGTTTTTATTACTGTACACAACAGTAACTTGTATGTGAAATTAAGATGCCCCCCCCCTTTTTCTTGACACTCATGTGGTGGGGCAGTACTGCTTTAAAGTCAATAGGGTAGTTATTCTGGGTAAGATAATGCTGTGCTTCTTGTAAACTGCTTTCGATCCTGCTTGGTGGGTGTGTGGAAAAATTATAAATAGTTTAGATGGTATCTGAATACAGAATAAAGTATCTGAATACAGAATGAGGAGAAAACCAATAGAATTACAAGGCCATCACCTCCATGCGCTGGCATGCAGAGGACTTTTGTATTTGTGTGTGAAAGAGAAGGAGAAAATAATCTGGTGCACATGTTGAATGTTTTCACATTTGGTGTCCTTTTTACATCTTGATGAATGGGAGTTTAATCCCTTTGCATGGCCAAAGGGCAAATTATCAAGCTGGTTCTTCATTCATTCACCAGGCTGTTAAAAGCCTTGGTGTGATATAAGACCAGCAGGCCCCTCCCCCCTGCCACACAAGTGACAAACAGGTGTTCTAGATCTGATCATTTGGGCTCTTGGTCAGAGAAATCTGCCCCCTTTTTAAAATGTAGTGGGGGGTGGCGGTAGACTGGGCATCTATATAATTGGGCAGCATTACCTGTGAGATTATTTCCTGGGGAAGGAAGGAAGCACGGTGGCATGTTTACTTCTTCACCATGCAAAGTGCCTGTCTAGTAAAAAAAATCTAGACTATGTACAGAGCTCCCATAGCTGTGGGAGCCTTGTAACTAGGGTGAATGTCTATAGTGTCTACACTATGTCTATAGTGTTCTGGACTGTAACACTATAATGAAATAAAATGTTGGGGACTTTAGTACTAGACAACATCACTGTCAGGTATTCCATGAACAAAGACAAATTCTGTTGGTAGTAATAACTTGGGGAGCATAATCTCACATATTCGATAGTTGTAGGTGAGTGCCTCAATAATTTAGCTGACAGCTGAGTGTGAGCAAATGCCCCTTTTTACCCAGGACATCTTGCTGTACCAGATCAAAATCTTGGAGCCCAAACTAGCCCTATGCCTGGCAAGAAAACAAATCAGACAAAGCGAATTCTTAAGACAGGAGGAAGGAGTAATTTGGTACTCTGTTTAGGATGCTCCATTCTTTTGCCTGGAGTTACTGGCTTTTTGTTCCTTTTGTCTCCCAGACCGACAAAGGCCACTGCGAAGAGAATAGTTGCCCTTTACAGTCTCATACAATTGTTACAAACAAGACTTATACCCTAAGAGTGCAATTGGGCCTCTTCATGCATGATATTTTAAGCATGTCCCTACGATATTTTGTGTATAACTAAAAATATGACGTGTGAAGGTGACCAACTTGTACCATACAGGTGCACTCACTGGGGAGATCAATAGTGAGTCTGGTTTTGCCTGAAGCAGGGGACTTTAATAACCCCTTTACAACCTGCTTCTTTTTCAGCCTTCCCATTCAGTATCACCTACATATGTGCTCCAAGATTTGAAGTGATAAGTACTAGGCTTGTTTTCACAGGAATATAAATGTCAGCTTGGAAATGGGCTCAGTGAACTCCACTGGCAGTTAGGTTGCTCTACAGCTGTTCCTTCTACACCCACACACTGATATGGAGGCCCCACACATGATCCGGCATAGGCATTCATACTCTCAAGCTCTCATTATGTACAGAGTCACCTGCCCAAGGCAAACAAGGAAGGGGGTTTCCCTTGGATACCTTATGCCTGAAAACTCCACCTTTTTCTCCTCAGGCCGCTGACTGTAGCTATCAGTGCAAGCTAATATATCTCTTTTCTGCCTCATGCTGTCTTTGCCAGGAATTAGAAGGGCCTCTTTTCAAGGTAAAATGGATCTGTTTCTACATGCATATTGGTTCTTCTCACTTTGGCCCAAAGGCACAGATTTCCACTTCCTTGCTGTTCCAGAAACAGAGTAGGTCATTACTAGACAAGGCTGAAGCATTGGCTGCAACTGCATTAAAATGTTTGGTGAGCCAGGAGTCAGCAAACCACATGTAAGCCGGCAGTGATGGCTCCATGGAAGGACAGATACCTAAAGGCTTCCATTTGTGTCAAACCTTTAAAGGGTCTGGGAAAAGCTCAAGGAATCTTTCTGGAAAAGTAGCCATGCTTTGCAGGACTGCATTGTGCTTTTAGTATGGATTCCAGTATCTAAACTAGTATTTGAACTTGTTGACAAGGCACAGAAATGGTACAGGAAACATCGGCAAAGGTGACGAGATGGTAGGTAGTTGGCTGGAGCCAATGACTTTCACTGACTTCCTTGTTGAAGTATACATGAAGGAAGTGTGTTCATTTGTGTTCCAGGAATCAATTTGTTGTGCCCTGTGGCATCCCTTCCCAGATCCTCTTAGGCCTTGTCAAAGTTTGGCTTTACCGAAGCTGGCTTTCAGTGGTAGTATGAAGGAAAAGGAGTTATGTCAGTGTAGAACAATTTATTACTCAATCCCAGCTATTTGACTACTCTGAAATCTCGGGTGATTTACCAGTGAAATAATGTGGGGATTACGTTGGCAAACTGGTATGGACATCACAGAGCAATGTTACATGGAGTTGAATTCACAATGAATGTGTAGTAAAGGTGCACTAACAGCTTGACAGCCCAGCCTAGCCCAGTCTTATTAGAGCTTGGAAGCTAAGCAGGGTTGGCCACAGTCCCAGTTCCAGTGCAAAAAGAGTGCCTGTATGCAAATAAGCATTTAGGCATGAATTAATTATACCTTTGGACAAATCTTCAAGACAGCAGTGAAATAATAAGCTACGGACCGGGTAACAGCCTTATACTTGCTAGATAGCAAATATAATAAATGGTGATCGTGTGATCATACTGGAAACTGTGGAGAAATAAAAGACGATTTTACGGAAGAATATAACTCACAACTAAATTTTAAAAAAACGGGAAAGTGTTTCCATCATCACTTTTCCATATGGGCAGATGCTCTGTTCAATCAGTGTATCTGAGAATCTGCCAAATAATTTATTAAGAGGTAAGGCATTATGTCTGGCCAAGAAGAAAAGTCTTCGAAAGGTTGGAATAGTTAGGAATGTCAGATAATCTGTAAGTGCTGGAAAAGATGGGATGCCTTTCCTCTTGGCATTGCTACATAACTCCAAGTGGTCCCTTGTTGTAGGTTAAAAGGTAAAGGTTCCCTTGCTCGAAAGCCAGTAGAATCCAACTCTAGGGTTGCGGTGCTCATCTCCGTTTCAAAGCCAAAGAGCCAGCGCTGTCCAAAGACGTTTCCGTGGTCATGTGGCCGGCATGACTAAACACCAAGGCGCACGGAACGCTGTTACCTTTCGAACTGCTAGGTTCTAGGTTACTAAGTATCTTATTCATAACTAGAGGGAGATCTAAAGGAAAACTTGGGTAGGGAATCCACAAGCTTAAGAGTCTTTCATCTGTCTTTGTCCAAGAAGACACAAAAGAATCAATCTCAGTCCATTTTAAAACATCAGGAAGAAAATCCTTGTCTAATAGGGAAAACTGTATTTCACCACAGCTTTCCTTTCTTTTTTTAAATCCCCGGAGGGATATTTTTTATTATTTTTTTATAAGACTACAAAACTACAAAGAAAATATAAGGGAAGGGGATTACATCTAAGGATTAAGGATAGATAACCACACTACACTAAAAACCCAAGAGGAGGAGATCATATCCGTGTTAATCTAAGTGTTATTAATAAAAGTGTTAGTACAACAATATACTTGTAGAGTTCTTGTTTGTCTCGGCTTCAATGTTAGTATGTTAGTTGTTGTGAGAGAACTTTCTGAGCATCTACTTGTTATTTGCTTCAAAAGGCAATTTTCAGAGTCCTTCTGCCTTTACTTCGGTTTTCTGTCTCTGAAATCTTATGTAACTTTCGTTGCTCGATCTCCAGCGCTTCGCCCAGTCGAATCGGCTTGTGCCCGAGGGCCACACAGCAGCAGGACCGTCAGGGCGGAGGGAAACCTCAATTCTCTGGCATTTAGCCATCGAAGAGGCTGCTCCTCAAAAGCCCTATGGCCTGGAGCCTATCACAAAGGCTCCGTGTGAGTGCTACTT